TCCTGCTGTGCCCGCTGGGCTCGGGCGTCAGAGGTAGTTGGTAGGCAGCGTTGACGCCAACTGGCTACAACGTATTATGGTGTACACCGTTCTGTTTCACTGTGAGGGTCGCTGGATTACCCGTCGTCTTCCCCGTCTAAATGATGTACATAAGTTAGACGGCGAGACGGGTGCCATTGTGAAGCGTTTGTTTTAGAGTTCTCTATTGTTCTCTCTGTTTGGCTTCTTTCTCCTCGCCTTTTTCCCTCGAATTTTATTTAATTTTGTCAAGTGTTGAGGAATAATCGGCTTATCTAGCTCTTGACGTTGCTATGTTTGTTTTGGTAAAAAAATTTTTTTGAATATATCTAATGTATAAGAAAACATTTTAAGATTTGTTTAGTGTAAATTGGCTTGTTTATAAAATGCTCGTGCACACAGAGGCGGGACCAAAGAGCCAGAGCTCAACCCCCGCAAACACAACTAGGTGAGTACACACACACACAATCACACACACACACACACACACAATCACACACACAATTAGAGGGCGCTGGTAGCTGAGTGGACAGGGCACGGGACTCATAATCCTGTGGCCCGGGTTCAATTCCCGGCGCCGGCAGAGACAAATGAGCAGAGTTTCTTTCACCCTGATATCCATGTTACCTAGCAGGAAATAGGTACCTGGGAGTTAGACAGCTGTTACGGGCTGCTTCCTGTGTACTCACCTATTTATGCTTGCGGGGGTTGAGCTTTGGCTCTTTGGTCCCGCCTCAATGTGTGTGTGCGCGTGCGCGCGTGCGTGCATGCGTAAATGCAGTGTTTTCGTTAGTAAAGTAGTATTTATATCACCTGGGAAGAGGTCTGACCCATGAAGGTTTTTAGCGCGGTGCCCGGTGGTGGGAGGGGGCGGGGGCGGGGGAACTTTGGGTGCGGTGCTGGTGGTGGGAGATAAGTAATAAAGGATACCAGGAGTGGCACGGGCTCACCATAGCCCGTGCTACTGGAACTTATTGTTCTGAGTAGCGAATCTTAAACAACAACAACAACAGGAGGGGTGACTTACCCCCGAATGCACATTAATGACACTAAGTAAAAGACACATCGAACACTTTATGTAGGGTATACGTAAATCTGTGTATCTATGTATTTACGTATGTAGGTTAGCTTAGCATTTTAAAAGCACCGTATCACCTTCTGTGGTTGATTGTTCAATAAACCCTTGAACTATATGTTTAACACATCTCTAACCCTGTCCATGGAGGACAGAAGAAAATGTATATATGCTGGTTAGCATTGTAAATGTCTGGCCACGTTTGTGGTAGAAAATAATAATAAAAAAAAAAAGTACATCCTTCCCTCTCTCTCCCCCTGCGTGTCCTCTTCTCACTTCTCCCAGAAGGCGTTCGGAAAGTAGCAGCCGTGCGTGCGTGTGTAGACCCGGGTTGTGGCGGTGGTGTTGGGCCGTACGTATGGGGGGTCCAGTTAGTGAGAAGGAAGTCGTTCAGTACATGAACCCTTACTGAGGGCGCTGCTCTGGTGACACCGCCATCTTTATCTCGTAATTTATATATATAATATTAATGTAACTCTGGTAACTTTGCTAATACAAGTTCATATTAACGAGCATTATAATTGGTGTTGAACCACTTAGGATATATTAGATATATTTGATCTCATAAAGGCCTCCTCCCCCCCGCAAGGCGCTTCCTCCTCCTCCCCCCCCCCATTCGAAAGCTCCCCTTGTAAGCTTCCTCGAAGGCTCCGTCTATGGCTTTCCCCGAGTAGCGTTCGCACGTGGCAGTTACCGTACAGGAAACGGTAGTGTGTGTTGGCCACAGTCGAGCACGCCCCTGCGAGCACACCCCTGCGAGCACGCCCCTGCGAGCACGCCCCTGCGAGCACGCCCCTGCGAGCACACCCCTGCGAGCACGCCCCTGCGAGCACGCCCCTGCGAGCACGCCCCGCACTCAGCGGTACCCCCAGTATTGCTTTAGTTCTCAGAACCTCAATATTCGATCTGTGAATTTAAAATCATAAGCTTGCTTCAGTGCGGACCGTTCCACAACCGTTGTCTGTTGTGGTGGTCGCCACACCAGAGCAGTAGGGGGGGGAGGGAATTAGGGAAAATGAAATTAGTGACGAGCTCTCAGCCAGAGGAATTATCTCCCGCATATCACTTAATTGTTTTAGTTCATCGACCATTGTGTTAATGCTCCACCCAGGGTTGCCAGATTGGGCTACTTTTCAGGGCCCCGCGCTCCCAAATTCTTAATTTCGCTACTTGCGACTTTTTGGGGCTACTTTAAAAACAAGTTGGGTTATTTTGGGCTATTAATGTTAAACTCGATGAGGATTTTTATGCTTTTTATAATGTCATGTGTACAAATCACAGCCGCGTCCAACAGCTTGATTGAATAGACCACTTACCGCAGGAGGCCAGGTCAGAGACCGACCCCCTGGGGACGTTGATCCTAGGAACTTCCCAAAGTAAAAGTAACCGCAAGGCAAGATAATTCTCCCCAGGGGCTATAGATTTCCCAACCTTAATTGCCATTAGTACTTCATCCTGGGTACTGTCTGTTAAGTGACCTCCCACTGTTGCCTACTGTAAATATTAGGTTTCTCTTTAGGAGTTTCCTAGAATCAAATGACTGTCGTTAGAGCGGATTAGCAGACAGTAAACTTGGCAGCTTCAACTGTGCTTTCATTGTTAGTGTGGCTCTGACCTCCAGAAGGATAGGTCGATACAAGTTACCGCATATAGAAAAGAAGTTACCGCTGTTACTTTTAGAATTTGCTTAAGTGTTAAGATAAAGAAGTGTAAAGTGGGGAAGTGGTCTATATACCAGAAAGCGTTTCAGATGTCCTGGCTTAATGATCCCGTGTTTGGAAAGTGGTTGGCTGAAGTGAAAGATGGAAATAAGGCATATTGTAAAGTGTGTAGAACTGAGATAAGAGCTCATAGAAGTGGTTTAAAGAAACACAGTGAAACAGTAAAACATAGACAAAATATATCGGAGGTAAGTCATCAGCAGATGCGCATCAAGTCTGTTCTATCAAAGAAGGAAGATAAACTTACTAAATTTGAATGTCGTCTGTCTGTATGTACTGTCGCTATCTATAAATAAATAAATAAATAAATAAATAAATGTTTATTTAGGTAAGGTACATACATACAAGAGATTTTACAAAGATTGGTCGATTTATAGATAAGAGCTAGTACATACAATGCCTAAAGCCACTATTACGCAAAGCGTTTCGGACATGAAAAACATTAATGACTAAAGCTTAATACTAATTGAGTATAAAGAATAAAATGTGTTGAGAACAAATAAAAATAAAGATAAAAAAGGGGGAAACATGGCTGAAAAAGCAGCACAAATACAATTAGGTCGACAAACAGCGTTGTTTAAAAAAACAGACATGGGTTGACAATAGAGGGGTAAGGTAGGTTACAGGGAATTTATTAGGTAGTGCGTCGTTTTTATCTTAAACTGGTTGAGAGAGGTACAGTCTTTAACATGGTTGGGAAGGTCATTCCACGTCCCTTGATCTGCAGAGCATTTCTAGTTTTGATTAAGTCGTACTCTTGGAATATCACAACTGTGTTTATTTCTGGTGTGGTGCTCATGGGTTCTGTTACAACCTTCAATGAAGCTTTTGAGGTCAGGATTGGCATTACAGTTCAGCGTTTTATATCTAACATTAAATATTTCTATTTAATTTTTTTAAATATTTATTTAAATCTACCATTATGTTATAAATCTAACATTATAATGTTAGTATAATCTAACCTTATAATGTTAGTATAATCTAACATAACATTACGTTTATTTAAATCTAACATGGTTTGTAACTCATCTTGTATGTATGTACTTTTACCTGAATAAACATTTGATTTGATTCGATTTGACTAAACAAAAAATTGGGCTACTCTACTTGCAAATTCGCTACTTTTTGACCGTCAGCTCGCTACTTTTAGCAATTTGGATCTGGCATCCCTGGCTCCACCTCGACTCGACCAAGAGCATGACTGATATTAACCCCACACTGCATCCTGTAACCCCCCTCCCCCCCTCCCCCAAGGGGCAGGACGGAGGCCCAGCACTGTCCTACCAAGGGGCAGGATATGACACCTGACCTCTGGGTATGGTTCCTCTGCTTTTGCAGTTGTAAAAATAGATATAAATGCGTCCTTACCAACTATAATATTACGGGCTATTCATGCCCGTGCCACCTCTTGGGTGGCTTAATCTTTATCAACTATAATAATCTAGGGTAAAATAAGACAACCGCTTAACAAGCAAAGCCATATACTTTAAGGGTTACGAAGGAACACGCCAACATATAAGTGATATACAGGTGGGTAGGAATCGCCAGAATTAATCTGACAAGATGCATATAATGAGGTCGGTAAATCCTACGAGCATTTATCACTTAAATATTAAAAGGGTGGGTGTGCAAATAATGGTCTAATCAGACAAGTAGCTTTGTTAACTGAACTAAAACAGGCACTTCTGACTTGACTCAACATGTCAGGTCCTCCTCAGACTTCATCCACGCTTGGGAGCCGGTCGGCCGAGCAGACAGCACGCTGGACTTGTGGTCCTGGGTTCGATCCCAGGCGCCGGCGAGAAACAATGGACAGTTTCTTTCACCCTATGCCCCTGTTACCTAGCAGTAAAATAGGTACCTGGGGTGTTAGTCAGCTGTCACGGGCTGCTTCCTGGGGGTGGAGGCCTGGTCGAGGACCGGGCCGCGGGGACACTAAAGCCCCGAAATCATCTCAAGATAACGCTACTGGCGGGGCTAGACGCCTTCCTCGGTTGCGTCTACACATTACCAATATATTCTACACAAGAATACGCTCAGTTATTCTGCTAGCTGAGAGCACTACTTGCAAACAATATTACAAATCATAGTCTATATGTTATCACTAATTAGGTGGAATATATAAAATGTACATACAAGAACAAAGAATAGTTCTAGGGATGAATCGGTGACGCTATGTTGGTTACACTGTGAGCATCATTGGAAACATCCACCATATATGGTCATTCCCTCCCATGAGACGCCACTATCTCCACATGAATAAACATGTATTAACTTCAACTAAAATCTATCATACAAGTGTCATACATCACTACAGCATGCTCCAGTTAACTCAAACCTTACATACTAGAAAACAAATGAATATAATGTTACTCTCCCAATACCCGAGGAAAGAATATAGGAACATAATTGCTTTTATCATGAAATATGTCAGAATAAAGTATTATCGATTCGTAACAGTTGACACGAAGAAAAACAGCCGTGAGCGCTGACTTTGGACCATCAGGGGAGACAGTGGCATCATCAGGCTTCACCTGTAACGTGAGACACACCAATTAGATAACTAGTAGACATCTGAAATAAATATATATATATATATATATATATATATATATATATATATATATATATATATATATATATATATATATATATATATATATATATGAGTTTAACCAGTGTGGCTGGGAAAATATATGAATGTACCAGTTCAAGGAGAGATACCAACACTTACCAGTGTGTTGGGAAGAGGATGAGCGAGAGAGCTGGTCGAAGTAGGCCTGCAGGGTTGCTACGGTCTTCTGTCTGGTGCTCTTCTGTTCCTTGAGCCTCGACACATCCTGGGTGATGGCGTCGTCCAACTTAGCGTGTTGCTGCTCCTCCAACCTCCGACTGCCTTTGTCCCGGTTCCTCAATGCCTGTAATGCACAGCGTCTCCTTTTCTCCAGCTCCGGGTCACTTTGTGGAGGCGATGCGTATAATTTCAGCTTGCGTCGTCTCTGTCCAGCAGTCTGAGACAGACGTAGAAACCTAGACTGGTTTGGACCAGCAGCAGACCAACTTTCTGCTGCAGTAGTAACCTGCGGCGGGTAAGTGCTGTCGGAGTCCCATAGCTGAGAGTCGTGTATGGTGTCTCCGGCCAGAGAGTCGTTTTCGTAGTTACTACAGTCACGACTGGCAGTGGCGGGATAACTGTTTCCTGCATATGAACTGTTGACCGCCTGAGAGTGGCCCATGTGTGGCGAGCAGCCTCCACCGTTGACAGGCGGTCCACTGCATTCCCAGTCCAACATGGACACATCAAAATCATCTAAAATATCGTCGCAGGTCGGGTAGCTCGTAAAGTATCTCTCGCTTGACAAACTAGCTGTCAGCATTTTCTGACAGGCTTCTTGTCCACCAAGAGAAGCCATCGAGTATGTTAGCGAGGTGCTTGACGAAGGCAGAGACGACTAGACTCCTTGGAAGGTCTTCAGCCTGTGATGCTTGAAATACTTTCTTCGCTCTTTTTATAGCGGCCAACTACGTAAGGGGAGAAAACAAAGAGAGGATGTCCGCCTCCGTCCAACATCGACACACACTCCTGGGGTCTTCTTCATGTCACGCATTTCTCACCGTTCTTCATACGTATTGGACAGTGTTTTTCGACAGTTTATATGTCTCGATGTTTATCAACATAATTTAAATAAACATAAACATCTAAAAAGATTTTTACAAAATAAAAATAATTAAAATGAATGAGAGGAGGCGATGGTCGACACCTGGAAATGACTAATTCTTGCCAAAATGAGCGGTGTTGAAGCTAATATAGCGTGACATTAGCTGGTGTTTAATGTTGTCAAGAGATAATATAGAATGCCATTAGCTGGTGTTTAATGTTGGTAGAGCTAATATAAAATGTCATTAGCTGGTGTTTATTGTTGGTACTGTTGGTGGATGTGACTGTCAACGCCATCTGTTGAGTGCGCTCGACCCCATTTTTTTTATTCCCAGGTGAATGGCTGTGATCTTCTTGACACCTATATTATTTATATTTACGATTTTTGTCTGCAGAGTCCAGCTATTAGACCCCGCCTTTCTGACCAATCAATTTTTCCTCTATTATATCATCTACATATATTTCTCTCTCTCACATACACAGCGCTCCAGACTCATGGACCTAGGGACCTGGGTTCGATTCCCGGTGCCGGCAGAAAACAAATGGGCAGAGTTTAATTCACTCTGATGCACCTGCTACCTAGCAGTAAATAGGTACCTGGGAGTTAGAAAGCTGCTACGGGCTGCTTCCTGGGGGTGTACGTGTGTGTGTGGGGAAAAAATAGTTGTTAATAACAGTTGATTGACAGTTGAGAGGTTGGCCGAAAGAGCAGAGTTCAACCCTTACAAGCAAAACTGGGTGAATGCGCGCACGCGCGCACGCGCGCACACACACACACACACACACACACACACACACACACGCACACACGCGCACACGCACAAACACACGCGCGCGCGCACACGCGCACACGCACAAACACACACACACACACACACACACACACACACACACACACACACACACACACACACACACACACACACACACACACACAGGACAGGACAGGACATGGATGGAAGCTTGAAACTCAGATGAGTCACAGAGATGTTAGGAAGTTTTCTTTTAGCGTGAGAGTAGTGGGGAAATGAAATGCACTTCAGGAACAGGTTGTGGAAGCAAATACTATTCATAATTTTAAAACCAGGTATGATAGGGAAATGGGACAGGAGTCATTGCTGTAAACAACCGGTGCTCGAAAGGCGGGATCCAAGAGTCAATGCTCGATCCTGCAGACACAACTAGGTGAGTACAACTAGGTGAGTACACACACACACACACACACACACACACCCATCCATCCCCAGGTAGCAGCCTGTAGCAGCTTTCTAACTCCCAGGTACCTATTTACTGATGAACGAAGCATCAGGGTTAAAGAAACTCTGCCCATTTGTTACTGCTTCCGCCATGAATCGAACCCAGGCCATTAGGACTACGACCCCCGAGCGCTATCCACTCAGCTGCGAGGGCCCCCTTGTTACCTGTGTAGTTTGCTTTTTGCTATACAATTTTTATGCCTCAGAAGCGATTGGTTACTTTAGACACAAGAGTTCGCCTGGAGTGACCAACAAGAGCCAACAGTGGCTCCTGTTTGTCACTGTTGGTTCTTGAAGTGAAAGAACCCGGTTACTTGCTAAGTGAGAATGTAACAGTGAAGGTAATATAGTGTGACATTAGCTGGTGTTTAATGTTGGCACTGTTGGAGCTAATATATGTATATAAAGTCATCTAGAGATAATTTTGTCATTTTTCTATGAATTCGTATTTACGTCTATTGTCATCCATCATTTTTATTATTATATACTTATAACATTACATGATTACAAAATTGATTTGTTAAAGAAATAGATCCTTAAAAAAAAAACTGCTGTAATTTTTTCCAGCTCTGATGCTGGGCAATAATCGGGGATGCATTGGCAATTTTCCCGCTGGATCACCACACCGAGGTGCTTAGAAAAAGGACACTGGCTGCTCTAGAGTCTCTTAATGTTTCGATGAGCTTGGAACCCATATCCCCGAGAAACCCCTGACACACACACACACACACACACACACACACACACACACACACACACACACACACACACAGGTGGAAACTGAGTGCCCAAATGAGCCACAGAGATATTAGAAAGAACTTTTTTAGTGTCAGAGTGGTTGACAAATGGAATGCATTAGGAAGTGATGTGGTGGAGGCTGACTCCATACACAGTTTCAAGTGTAGATATGACAGAGCCCGATAGGCTCATGAATCTGTACACCTGTTGATTGACGGTTGAGAGGCGGGACCAAAGAGCCAGAGCTCAACCCCCGCAAACACAACTAGGTGAGTACAACTAGGTGAGTACACACACACACACACACACACACACACACACACACACACACACCATGGACCAAGAGTCTCATATTCTGTAGGAACAAAGTTGCACCGGTGGTCTATTTCCAAGTACCTAGCTAGACCTACTGCAGTTTTCCATATTCGTCCGTTATTTTGTTAATATTTGTGGTATGGTGCAGTGATAACTATTGATGAATGCATTCTGTGAGCGATGGAGGTTCAATGTGGTGAGACTCGAGGATCTGTCTACACACTCACAAGGGCACAAATTAGTCGACGCTTCCAGTATGAAATTTATTTGCTAAACATAAAAGATGAAGTCCAGTACATTAGCACATATGCCAGCTGGCAAGAGTAAAAGCAGATTCAATACACAGCTTCAAATGCAAATGTAACCCAATTAGCTCGCGACCTTAACACCAGATAATTTCAGGCTGAGGCGGATCCAGAGAGCTAAAAATTCAATCATCGCGATCACAATAAAGCGAGTACATTCAGTATACAACTCTTAACTGAACGTTATTATTTTCCAGCATAAGTCCCGAGGTTTCAGCAGGACTCTGATGGGTTTTGGTATTAAGTAAACCTGTCTACTGTCGAGCCTCAAGCCCAAACACCAGTCTACATTAAACAAGGAGCAGCTGTTCATCAGTAGAATTAAGCTCTCGGAGCTACGAAAAGTTCCCGTGCTCAATTAACGTGTTTAATTCATCAACGAATTTGTTGATGGTCCACTTTTAACTCCAGCGTAGAGGTCCTGTCAACCTCCGCGAGCAGGACAGATGTCTCTCCACACAGTAACTTATGACTGACCAAGAACATGACGAATGTCGACTTTCACTGCATCCTGTGACCCGCCTGGGACATGACAGGTGTCCACCCACTGTATCCCACCAAGGGCGGGACAGAGGCGTTGACACGAGGAACAATAACTGCTGCTGCTGTTAAACAATTATTGCTAGAGCTGACTTTGAACAATGGTTCACATCAGGGGAGACAGTGGCATCACCAGCGGCTACCTGTAACAAGATAAACAAATCATTTAGATGACTAGTGGACATCTGAAATAAATATATATATATATATATATATATATATATATATATATATATATATATATATATATATATATATAATATATATATATATATATATATATATGACAATGTCAGACCACGGAGGAAAAATGAAACAGGAAATTTCCTTAAGTACTTTCGTATATTAAATACATCTTCAGAAGGTCAACCTTCTGACCTTCTGAAGATGTATTTAATATACGAAAGTACTTAAGGAAATTTCCTGTTTCATTTTTCCTCCGTGGTCTGACATTGTCACATTCTTAATCACGTGTTTATTTTCGTGATATACACATATATATATATATATATATATATATATATATATATATATATATATATATATATATATATATATATATATATATATGAGATTAAATAGTGTGAATGGGAAAATATATGAATGTACCACCTTAGCACCAGGATAAGCACCTCCAAAGGATACCCGATTCAACCAGGCTGTGCTGTTTGACGTTAGGCTGCGAGCAGCCGCGTCAAACACAGCCTGGTTCACCAGTCCAGCAACGAGGAGGCCTGGTCGACGACCGGGCCGCGGGGAAGCTAAGCCCCGGAACAACTCCAAGGTAAGGTAACCAGTTGGAGAGAAATCAACACTTACCAGTGTGTTGGGAAGAGGATGAGAGAGAGAGCTGGTTGAGGTAGGCCTGCAGGGTTGCTACGGTCTGCTGTTTGGTGCGTTTCTCCTCCTTGAGCCTCGACACATCCCGAGTGATGGCATCCAACTTAGCGTGTTGCTGCTCCTCCAACTGAATGCCTCTCATACGGTTCCTCAATGCCTTTATTGCCCTGCGTCTTTTTTTCTCCAGCTCCGGGTCACTTTGTGGAGGCCATTCGTATACCTTCAGCTTGCGTCCAGTCTGTCCAGCAGTCTGAGACAGACTTGGATACCTAGACGGGTCTGGACCAGCAGCAGACCAACTTTCTGCTGCAGTAGTAACCTGCGGCGGGTAAGTGCTGTCGGAGTCACACAGCTGAGAGTCGTGTGTGGTGTCTCCGGTCAGAGAGTCGTTTTCGTAGCTACTCCAGTCGCGACTGGCAGTGGCCGGATAACTGGTTCCTGCACATGAAGTGTTGACCGCCTGAGAGTAGCCCATGGGTGGCGAGCAGTCTCCACCGTTGACAGGCGGTCCACTGTATTCCCAGTCCAACATGGACACATCAAAATCATCTAAAATATCGTCGCAGGTCGGGTAGCACGTAAAGTATCCCTCGCTTGACAAACTAGCTGTCAGCATTTTCTGACAGGCTTCTTGTTCACCAACAGAACACATCGTGTATGTTAGCGAGGTGCTTGACGAAGGCAGAGACGACTAGACTCCTTGAAAGCTCTTCAGCCTGTGACGCTTGAAATATTTTCTTCGCTCTTTTTATAGCGGCAAATTCGTACGAGACATTTATATGGCGGACTTGGAAATATGTATTCGGGTATTCACCCGTGCAGTTTATTTCAAGGGAAAATAAAAATAATACAGTACGGGGAGAAAACTAGGAGAGAGGATGTCCGCCTCCGTCCAACCATGGACACACTCCTGGAGCCTTCTTCACGTCCCACATTTCTCACTGTTCTTCTTGCATATTGGACAGTGTTTTTCCACAGTTTATATATATATATATATATATATATTGATTATCAACATTGAATTAAACATCTAAAAAGATTTTTTACAAGATAAAAATAATTAAAATGAAAGAGGAGATGGTTGACACCTGGAAATGACTATTTCTCGATTAAACGAGCGGTGTTGAAGCTAATATAGCGTGACATTAGCTGGTGTTTTAATGTTGGCACTGTTGGTGGATGTGACGATGTCAACGCCATCTGTTTAGCGCACCCGACCCCATTATCTGTTCCCAGGTGAATGGCTGAGATCATAATGACACCTGTATTTAATGTGTCTGCAGTATCGAGCTATTAGCTCTTAGACCCCGCCTTTCAAACCAATCTATTTTTCCTCTATTATATCAACTACATATATTTCTCTCTCTCTCTCACACACACACACACACACACACACACACACACACACACACACACACACACACACACACACACACACACACACACACACACACATATCCCCAGGAAGCAGCCTGTAGTAGCTGCCTAACACCCAGGGGTCAGTTTCACGAAGCAGTTACGCAAGTACTTCCGAACGTGTACATCGTTCCTCAATCTTTGACGGTTTTGGTTACATTTATTAAACAATTTACTATCATGAAAACTTCCAAAGAAACTGTTATTGTTGTAAACAGCCTCCTGGTGCTTCGGAGCCTATTAACTGTTTAATAATTGTAAACAATGCCCCCAAAAATTGAGAACAGATATTCAGGTTCATAAGTGCTTGCGTAACCCCTCCGTGAATCTCGCCCCAGGTACCTATTTACTGCTAGGTGAAAGAAATATCAGGGTGAAAGAAACTTTGCCAATTTCTTTCTGCTTCCCCTAGGAATCTAACCCGGGCCATTAGGACTACGACCCCCGAGCGCTATCCACTCAGCCGCGAGGACCCCCCTTGTCACCTGTGTAGTTTGCTTTTTTTACTATACAATTTTTATGCCTTAGAAGCGATTTCTGGGGGGGTTGTGGGGGGGGGGGGGTTGACAAGAGTTCGCGCGGAGTGACTAGCAAGAACAGTCCTGAACACAAGGGTTGTTTCAGTGAGAACACGTAGGGCCTAGTCGGTGGCGACAGTGAATTATCTGTGGTAGCCAGCGAGGTATTGGTGATTGGACCTATTTACCCCGGGATGGCCCATTTCTGTTACTTGGTGGAATTAGCATCCGTCTGTCCACTTGAGGCTTTGTAGCGAGTAGATTATCCCAATAATATACTCGCTCCAAAGGCGTTGTTAATATTCCTGTCAACCTTTGGAGATGAATGAGGCGAGGTGTTGCCCGAGCATATAAGCAGCAGAATAGCCAATATTGACTTACGGGCTCACCATAGCCCGTGCTACATGGGCACTTCGTCCTGAGTAGCTAAATCTTTAACAACAACCACCAATATTAACTCACGGGAGACATCTCCCGTCACGCAGGGTGCAGTCGCACCTCCACAGATCTCCAGTATCAGCTCTTGATACTTCCCCAGTCCAACATGGACACGTCAAAGGCCTCTAAAATTTGCTCGCAGGTCAGGTTCCACGTCTGCAGTTTCTGGTAGGGTTCTTGTCCACCAACAGAACACAGCGTATATGTTAGCGAGGTGCTTGACGAAGGCAGAGACGACTAAACTTCTTGGAAGGTCTTCAGCCTGTGATGCTTGAAATAGTTGTTTCGGAGTTTTTTTTATAGCGGTCAATTCGTATGAGGCATTGATGTGCCGGACATGAAAGTATGACTCGGGTATTCACCTCTGCAGTATTTTTTATAGGAAAAAAAATCCATTTGGAGGCGAGAGAATACTAGAGGATGTCCGTCTCCGCTCAACCCTGGGCTCGCTCACGTATGGGAACTTCAAAGACATGAATAAGCACATCGTTCTTTCCGCTCATCTAAGTTTTCAAACAGTTGAATTTTATGCCTTGTGGTTGTATGTAATACGGAAAATAAAATAATCATGTCTAGAAGGCCAAGATTGAACAACCTGGCAACTACAACAAACTGAGCATTTATCTTCCAACTGAGTATCTAAAATTAAATGATAGTGGAGCGATTTTTTTTTGTACTAAAATTCACTGCACTCTTTAAATAATCCATTACATTTAATGACTGAAGTAGTTTGTAATTATAAATGAAATGCGGTTTTTTGCCAACAGCAGTAACTTCTGTAGAAAATGTCTGGATTCCTGCGTGGACGTTTAAGCCCCGAAATCGCCTTCAGATAACCACACCGTAAGATTCCATTCCTTAGTGGAATTGGAAAGTAGGAGAGTGTAGATCGACTGACTAACTAGGCTTGAAAGAAAGAAAATACGGACTGTGATTTTGAACTTTCTAATGGAATTATTACAATCATTCAAATTATAATTACTTCAGATTCAGAAGATTTCAGAAATTCCCGAAAACCTGGAACTGCAGTATTATGAAGCTATGACATCTTCTACTGTATCACGTATTTGTTTGGTCAGTATAGTAGCCTAACCAGACAGGGTGATGAAACCGTTGCTTGAAGTCGCCTTGACAGCAGGCACATCTGGCCAAGTTAGTGAGGCTGTCACTGCCAGAATGTTCAACCTGTCAACTCTGGCACGAACCGTTAAAAACATTCCCTTCAGCACCATTTTATTGACTGTGAAGCTTGAATCGATTTTAGATTACTGGCCTACTCCACAAACTGTTGAGTATTTCTGTTTAAGAAATAAAATGTGGAAAATTATAAGATCATGAAATATGTAAATGTTTAGATCTACAATTTGGACCCCATTGTCTGGTGTTTGATCCTGTCCTGTATGATGGGGTGGTGTTTGATCCTGTCCTGTATGATGGGGTGGTGTTTGATCCTGTCCTGTATGATGGGGGAGTATGAGCAACAGCCTAACTTCAACAACTAATCATATTAGGCAAAAATGTTGTCAGTTTTGTCAATTACGATGTTAATCGTTCTTCACCCTAATGGAAACACTTAACTTTCGCTAGCGTAATATTTGTATATATGTTGAGTAATGTAATTTAATATGAACATGCGAAAGATTGTTACGTAGTGAGAATTTAAATGAACGAAAGGAGACTGATGCTTGACTTTATCATAGAAGCTGTGTTGAAGTTAATGTAGTGTGACATTAGCTGGTGTTTAGCAAATTCGGTAAAGCATCCATGACATGTCCGAAGCTGGTGTTGGTACTCTTGAAGCCTAAATGTAATGTATTCAACACAAAATATTTAGTTTAAATCAAATTAAATATCATGACAATGTATAGGATTGAACTTGCGTTTCTGAGTGCCTAGTATTTCATCATCAAAATCGCTTTTTATTGTAATTTCCTTGTTCATTTGATATGTAGGAGGCTGTAGCTTTCAGATTTGTTATGTCTGTTATACTTGCCAGTGGTGAACTGCTGGACAAATGTGTAGTGGGTGTAGTGGACACGCACACAGACCCCACACGCGAAAAAAAATGAAATGTGTGTGTGGCGTAGACTCTAGTACAGTTGTGGCAGTGGCGTCGACGGAGCAGAGCGCCGTCACTTTGTGTGGTTGGGCGCGTGTTTGTGTCCTACTCTCTGCACCGAGGTATACATAAGTTTCCGTCTGACGTAATGTGTTGAGGAAACTTTAATATATTAACGTTTAACCCGCTCTGGAGGATGGACAGATATGCTGGTATGACTCAGCAGGTATACCATGTCATTGTCCATTTTTTACTGTTTACAATATGGCACGTGAAATGTTTTGCTCAGCTCTACACATTGAATGAGAGTTTTAACAACGAGGGGGATGAGAGATAGCAATAAAGCGCTAAATATATTAACACAAAATGCGAAACAATGGATGCAAATTGAATAAATTTAGACTTTGCGCGGGGGCCTGGTCGACGACCGGGCCGCGGGGACGCTAAGCCCCGAAACCAAGACGACGTAACCACAAGGTTGGTAAAGACCTGGCTAATTCTTGGGTTGTATATAGGAAGTACAGGGGCACGCGCCACTTGGCCCCTCACTGGTGTCCCAATTCGTATGTTCTTATATGTGTTAATATTGATGGTATGGTAGTGTGATCATTATAGCTGAAGGCATTCTAACTGATGGAGGCTCCAGGTGGTGGGAGTCGAAACTGTCGACGCTGAATCACAAGGGGCATACATTAAACAAAGCTTAGTCTGAAATTTATTTGTTTAATAAGTTAATGTAAATGAGGTCTAGTACATAGGCACATGTACACAAGCACAGTACATAAGCTGACAAGAGTAAAATGTCTCGCTACACAGCTTCACATACGTATGTAACGGCCCAATTAGCTTTTAAGCCTGTACAACAGCCGATTTAAGGTTATGAAGAGGATCGCAAAGCTGAAGCTCAACTGTTGGAAATGCAATAGAGAGAGAGTACATTCAGTATAAAACTCTAACTAAACGTTATTATTTTCCAGCATGTGTCCCGAAGTTTCAGCAGGACTGATGGGTTTTGGTATTAAATAAACAGGTCTACTGCCGAGCCTCAAGCCCAAACACCAGACAATCTACAGTAAACAAGGAGCAGCTGTTCATCAGTAGAATTGAGCCCTCAATGGTAGAAAATTGTCCCAACGTCACTATTATTAGTGTCAATTCATCAAAGATCATATTGATGCTCCAATTTGACTTGACCAAGGGCAGGCAGATGTCCTGCACGCCATCCTGTGACCCACCAAGGGCAGGAAAG